ATTAACCTTAAATAAACCAGACCCTCTGTTGGAGTTGGGAGGTGTTCTTTATCTCCAGGCACATGACTTCATGCTGTTGGGGGGTGGGGCAGGGCATCACTTCACAAAATCGGGTTTCTGATAGAAAAGAGGAAAGAGAAAATGGATGCGAAATGAGGAACCGATAGATCCTCTCTGATGGCTAAATATGCAATTACTTTAAGAAATCTTAATATCTGTGTCTCCAAAACCACTACTGAAATCCTGATCCTAAAAACAAAAAGCTCTTTCTTCTCAAGAGATTGTCCAGTTTTTTTCACGAGGTTTAATATTAAAAAGAACCGGGGGAAAACAGAAAAAAGAAAAACCCCATACATCTTAGGGATGTACTCACTGGGCCCATTCCAGCTCAAGTCATTTCGCACTATCTTTAGATTTTTTGGCTCCTTTTAACTGCCGGATACTCACTGCAGAGAAAGCTAAGTGGGTGGATGGTCAATACGAAGACTTACTGAGAGGCTGAACATGGATCTTCTCAGAAGATAAGGAAAGCATTTTCAGCTTACTGCCATCTGTGATTTTTTCTCTGATGTTACAGCTACCAGTCCACATATTTTTTGGATCATGTAAGCACTCTGCATGTTTTTTAAATAGTCTAACATCTTGCTAAATGAAATATATTCTTTGGTCCAGCTGCATCAGCATCATCTGAGAGCTTGTTTGAAAAGCGAAATCCCAGGCCCACCCCAAACCTACAGAATCCGAATATTTACAAGATTCCCAAGAGATTTGTATGCACACTAATATCTGAGAAACACTACTGTAAGGCATGTATAATCATGCCCTTGGTTCCTGGTGCCTGCAGGATACGTATACATAATACATAAGTCTAGCAATACTGTACACTATCACTTGAGGAACCACAAAAGTAATATCATGGACCCAGAAAACAAAATTCTTGCCCTTCTCTGTGCCATTAATCCAAATATCGAGATTCCAGTAAGCTCATTGGCTCATACATGAAGGAGGCCAGAAAAACGTCTGATCCCTTCTTCTGATCATGTTAAAACCGTCTGGACATTTGGACATGGGTTTGATGGTATACGGTGGGAAGATTAAACATCAGAACTTGCTTGAAGTCATTTAGATTAATGCTGGCATTATTTTCCCCCAAACCTGGATTCAGGACAATATGGATGCCAACACATGGCCGGTGCCCAGTAAATATCCCCACGTTAAATTTTTTAAGTGATAATAAGGCTAAAGTTACAGACTGAAGTTTGTTCCTATGGTTTGATCGCTTGGACAAACACAGTATGTGCAGGCTTATCTACCCCACATTTAGCACACTCCCCTTCTTGGCATTTCTCTCATTTCCTCGAAAAGCCTTTTCTGGAGAAACTTCAGATCAGAAGCCAAAGAAAATTCAGCTCAATTTGCCCTGTTCCCCATGGAGCTCCCAGTGACTGAAGGCTTTCATTCCTTCTCCCCCACATGAATTCTGGCCATGAGCTAGCCACCATCAGCGTTTCCCGGGGTTTCACGGCGAGAAAGCAGCGAATTTGCTGGGCTCGTCTAGACTGTTAGCAGACTGTGCTTTATTTTCACCGGCATTGGTTTTGCTTTTCTTTATTTGTTGTTGCAGTTGTTTCTGTTTTAGTGCACACCACTGATAAAAAATACAACCTTAGATGCATAAAGATATAGTCAAATTCACAAATGTAAGATCTAGAAATATACAGTCCTCGGCACCTTAACTGCCCACCCCTTGCCCTTTACCTGTTCTTGGTCAAATTCTCCTTCTGCACCCAGCTTTTATGGTATTTCATTTTCCTCCTACACTCAGGTCGATGTCCACTGCCTTCCTCTGAACAGATGACCTTGCCTCCTGCTTCACAGAGAAATCGGGCTTCCAGGTAGAACTCTGGGCTTCTGACCCACCAAGTCCAGTCCTGCACATCCCTCTCGTAGCTTTCTTCCTCATTCTCTTCCCACTCCAGCTCCAGTTCCAGACTCATCCCTTTACCTGAACTCCTGATCCCTTCAGTTGTGGTTGACTAGTGGTCCCGAGAAGGACATGTCCACATCCTAGTCCCTGTGACTGTGAATGGTGACCTTACTTGGGAAAAGGGTCTTCAAAGACGTGGTTAAGGCGAGGATCCTGAGATCCTTCTGGAGGATCCAGGTGGCAGAGGGAGGTTCGAAACAGACAGAAGAGGAGCGCAAACGCACGGAGGACAGAGCAATGTGAAAACGGGACAGGCTGACTGGTGGGGCCAGTGTCGAGGAATGCCAAGAAACCCAGCAACCCCCGGAAGACAGAGGAGTCAAAGTAGGGCTCTCTCCCCACACCCCCAGGCTCCAGAGCGAGGCGGCCCTGCCGACCCCTTGATTTCAGACTTCTGGCTGCCAAGACTGAAAGAATACATTCCTATTGTTTTAAGCTACAAAGTGTTTGGTCATGTACTATGGCAATCACAGGAACTCCACATACCTTCCTGAGCAGAGGAAGATCTTTTTCCTATATCTTTAATCCTTCTACTGCCTCTTTTTTTTTTTTTTTTTAATCCTCACTTGAAGACATTTTTGCTTTTTTTTTTTTTATTTCCAGACAGAGCGGGAGGGAGAGAGGGAGGGAGAGAGAGAGAGAAACATCATTGTGAGAGAGACACATGAAATGGTTGCCACCCGCACAACCCCAACCAGGGCGGGGACAAACCACAAACGAGGTACGTGCCCTTAGTGGAACCGAACCCGGGACTCTCTGGTCCGCGGGCTGACACTCTAACCACTGAGCAAACTGGTCAAGGCTCTACTGCCTCTTTTCCCTTCACCATTCATCCTTGCAATTTTCTGCCATCTTAAAATACACACACACACACACACACACACACACACACGTAAGCACTTGAAAAGAACAACCACGTGCTAACTGTGTTACTGGGTGACGGCAGGAAGAACATGAGCCCCGTCTGCTGCCTCACAGCCATGCTGGGCATGTGGGGAGGGAGCAGAAAGAACATGGCCCCTCTTCCTGTTGCACCAATTTTACTTAATGGTAAGTAATTCATTACATTTTAAATGAAAATAAGCAAGTATTATAAATTATAGTATAAATGTTGTATTAATATTGCAGGTAAAGTGTTCAAAGAAAATTCAAACGTGATTTGGGCCACTTTGGGCTCCGTTGTGGACTTCCCAAGGTGGACAGATCAGTGTGCGTGCTCTCTAGCATGGAGAGTACTGCGTGAAACAGTTTCAGAAGTGATGTTAGAGTCCTGTACTTAATGCAGGTAATAAAATATGACGCATGATATAGATGGTACTAGGTAGAAGGCAGAGCGTCTGCATAAAAGGTGTGTGTATCACCTGAGCCAACAAAACAGGAAGGTCTGGGCCTACACCCAAAATAGATTCTGTGACAATTCTTTACAAAAAAAAGAGGGAGAGAGATTAACCATAGAATTTTTTAAAATATCAAATGCTATGGCATTTGATATTTAAAATACAGTTCATATTATAAACATATGATCCCCCCAACTTTTCATAAATGGGAACATTTTTATGTCCCTCGATTTCAGATCAAGTTTAGAGTCATGAGGACAATTCAGAGACCTAAGTTTGTTCTGGGAACTTGAGCTTTGTGGGCACACTTGGTTCTCAGTGGCAGAGAATTGTCATACAGACTAGAAAAAAAAGCTGAGCCCTAAAGTTTCTGTAAATCCTGAGTTGAAACAGAGATTAGGTAAATTTTAACCATAGTTGCTCCTATTTGTACAGCACAAAATACTTTTTGAAAAAAATTATCAAGGTTCCTCTACTACAGAAGCTTTTTGAAAGTTCTCTCAGCTAAAGGAAGAAGTTGTCCAAACAAGTTTTGCTACATGAGACCAACTGTAGATTCTTTTCCCGCAACCTTGGAATTCGTTTGGAGATACATTTATGTGTGAGTGTATGTGTACAGATCTTAAGTGTGTGTCAGTTATTATGTATATCTAGCAAATAACTTTGCAGTTTTAGGACACTTCCTGAGCTACTAGTAAATAACTAAGTGGCTACAAGAGTTAGAAAACAAAAGCAATCCAAAAACAGAGGGTGGAGGCCGCTGGAAAATTGTAAGTTGCTCAAAAGACTATCTTGGGTCAACGCAAAAGGAAAATCTGAGATCATTTAATAAAAAAAAAAAAAAAAAAAAAACGATGAAAGGAAACAGAGCATGCAGCTTCGGAGCTCAGCCCGTGCCTAGACTCTTTGTGTGGGATTTTTTCTTTCCAACACAGAGGTCCCAGGACAAGCACACAGAAATCCCTAAATCATGCTCATCTTCTGGGGATAATATGTAATAGACACAGCCTTCTCAAGGAGACACCGGGGTCAGGACAAAACACAGTGTGTAATACCCATTCTGCAAATCCAAAGTGTTTAGACACATAGTATCTATTGAAAAGGAACACTAATGGCCACCTTGCAGGAGAAAAGAAAGGATGCAGATGTAACGAGAGCACGTGTGACTTAGGGAATGCAGAAGGAGGAAAGGGACTCTCATAACTGCTTGGAAATTGTACAGACTTTATGTGTAGTTCATTTTCTTTCTTACTGGGTGGTAGGCACCACCTCCTTTGCCCATGATCATGACCTCACTGAGGAAGTTCAGCTGCCTGGTTCTCACAGCGACAGCATATGAGCCCACCAAATTGTCGAGTCCCTGCTATAGCAACGTCGGAAACTGTTTGTGGCAAATATGGCATCTGAAGGCCACCTCAGATTTCTATTCCGATTTCATCCTACATGGGTGACAAAATCTATTATAATCTGACAGACGCATAAACAGTAGACAATGTCGTCTTTGAAAAAGACTTTTTAAATATCTAGAACATCAATCTTCTGTAGATTGCCTTACCTCCTTTTTATCTTTTTATATGCATGTCTAAGTAATTTCAGAACCAAAAACAAGAAAGACAACATCATCACGGTTGTGGTCTAGCTTAAAGCAAAGACAAAGAACTGATAGAAACCTCCATTCCCAGGCACTAGGTGTTTATAGCAGCCACTCTGTAGTTTTCTGGAAATCCTCTCCATGTGGTACGTATTTGAAGCTGTAAGTTGCAAGTGCTGGAGAAAACCCAGCTCTTTTCTCAGTGAAATGACCTGTTATTCTGTGGAAAGAAAGGAGGTGTTTCTCTGAGACCACCTTTACACCTGCTATGCTTTGCTGAAATTCAAACCACCCCCACCACCCCACCCCCATCTCTCACACCTGGGAGCTGGCTAGCAAAAACAAGGTTGGGTCCGGTGTGGGGGAAGGGTTAAAATATAACCATCTTGGTTCCTGGGTAAATAGCTCTTGCAAATGTCTATGGTTTTCTGTGCATAACTGAATTTTGGTCAAACTATATGGTGGAAGTATCCAAAACTCGGGCTTTAATTCACACACACACACACACATACACACACAAATTTAAAGCTATTTGGCAAGGCGTTTTGTTTTTAACATTAGTGAAATGCAGCCTAACAGTGTTCTTACTGTAGTCCTGCCCGAAAGTGATCGCTTTTCTGTACTTTTCCTATGACAAATTTATTTTCCCTATATGCTTTTGTTGGCTAGCAGCTCTGGCATGACTTGACTGACAATGAGCCAGAAGATCTGAGTTTGGGGAAAATGCACGGCTCTCAAGCCTTGGCACAGGGTAGATAAGTGCAGAGCACACGCTAGGCGTTCAAGCACAGCCCTGAGCCTCCTGAGTCTCCAAAGAACACCACAGACATTGGATGAAAATGACAATACCCCACAACTTGGGGACAGAAATCCAGTTAAAAATGTGAGTGTGTGTGTGTGTGTGTGCATTTCAGTGTTAAAACAATGAAACAATTGCTAACCCTCCTTTAGCTTTGCCAGCTAAGCAATGGGTCATACGTTACAGATTTTATATAGTCCACACGATTGCTGTCCTACAAGAGATGAGAAAGCTTCCCTCTCATGATTTCTACTTGTAGGAAGTGAGAGGGGAGACCATCAGCTCACGGTAAGGATGAAAGTGACACGGTTGGAAGAGATTATCCTAAACCATGGATTATGAAGGTATTTTAACAGCAAATTCTTCCAAGAAGAACATATATGTAATCTGGGGTGGCAATCTAATTAGGGTATTAGCATTTGAAATTGATCTTTTAATCTAATACTCTAGCAGTTAATCATAAGCAATGCACAAAAGACAAGCGCTACATGATAGATAATGACAAGGTATGATAGCATACACGACCGACAAAAGAGATCCAAAGATTTCCAGTTCAATTATCAAAAGTGTGATAGGTACACATGCATATACACATGAAACTTGTGTGTGAGTGTGTGTGTGTTTACTCTCACTCTAACAAAAAGTTGTCTTCAGAATCTGAGTAGTTTTATTCAGGAGATGCATGGGTCAGACATCTGGCATGTGATTACACCCGTCACTGCACCAATAAGGCAATGATTTGTAAAATGTTTCTGGACCGCAGTTGTCTTAGTATAGCTAAATGCTAAAAGTTCTTCCCAGAGAAACATACATACACACCAAATTTCAGAGTTCACAGACCTCCATATAATCTACTGCATCGAGGATTACTGGGTGCATAAAAACAAACAAAACACAAATGGAACCGCCTCAATCAATACTATTTACCTGAACATTCTCTGGATCAACAATTTAGGCTGGACTCAACTGAGCAGTCAGCCCCTGCCCAACCTGTTGGATGGGCCACAGGTCAATTACCCGTGTTGCTTATGCTCCTGGGTGCTGGCTCCTGCAGGCTGACACCTTGGCTCATTTTCATGTGGTTTATCATCCTCAAGCAGGTTGCCTGGACTTATTCTCATGGTGGAAACAGGTATCCCAGAGAAAGTTGAAATGCTCAAAACCTCTTAAGGCAGCGGTGCTCAACCTGTGGGTCACGATCCCTTTGGGGGTCGAACGACCCTTTCACAGGGGTCACCTAAGCCCATCAGAAAAACACATATTTCCGATGGCGATTCATAACAGTAGCAACATTACAGTTATAAAGTAGCAACGAAAATAATTTTATGGTTGGGGGTCACCACAGCGTGAGGAACTGTATTAAAGGGCTGCGGCAGTAGGAAGGCTGAGAACCACTGTCTTAAGGCCTCATCTCAGAATTGGTGCCAATGCTCCATTCTGTTGACAAAAGCAGCTCACGAGGTCAGTCCAGATCCAGGAGGCAGGGAAACAGACTATCTCTTGGTGTGAGAGTTTGTAAACATATCGCAGAGGGTATCAATACAAGGAAGAAAAAAGAATTGGGTACGATATCTCAATCAATTTATTCTATTTATCATGAACCTAGGATAGCAACTTTCTGCAATTAAAACGTAGTCATAGGGATTAAAAGGAAAAGCAGGAGCTGTTTTTACTGTGATATACAAGTACAGAAATCAATAGATCTGTTTGACATTCCAGAAAGTGTCCTCAGGTCAAGTCCAGAGCCAATAAAATACCTTTTCCTAGTGGCAAGCAAGAAATCTTTGATGTTTTTTCCCTGAAAGATTTGTTAGAAAATAAACTTGAGATTTGTTCTCACTTTGCTATTGAAATGGGACATCATGGATTGCCAACACGTTTAGTGGGGTGAATGTTAGCAATATTGATGGCCCGGCTGAGGAAAGTGACAGTGGATGTTCTAAATGTCTGTGTCAGTTTTTATGCCCAACTTCATTGAAGTGGTATGGGACTCCAGTCTTTCCATGTGTCATTCTATGGGGATCCTATAGTGAACAACACTAACATATCCCGTTAAACCAGAATCCAAGTCAGTATTTCCATAAAGCATAGGAAAACTTCAGGACAACAAAAATTCCAAATAGGAAATATTGAACTCATAATGTACCTTGAGTGTGTGATGATTGAACCGGTGAGCGTCGTGGCCTCATCAAAAGTCAGCTCTCAGCAGGTTTAAGTATGGTCATATTTTCTTCCCCTAAAAAGAAGAGCAAAAAGGTAACTGACTATAGAAAATTGAGTAAATAATTGAAAATAGTGAACTGAATTTAGCAACATGTGAATCCTATATTCAGAGGCATTTCGTTTACATCAACTCTCACTCCACCCTTACCAGGGGGTGAGCGAGTTAGAAGAGCATATTTGTCTAGCTAGAAGCGGTCTTTGATATTCCAATGTTCTATTTCTTCTTACTTTTTTCCCCTAAATTACAAGAGAATTGCTGTGATGGCTGAACCCACTTGGATGAATTCTCCATCTCCTCTCAATTCCCTCTCCAGAATTCTGACCTGGTTTTCTGTTGCTGCTGTAACAAGTTACCATAAATCCAGTGGCTTACAACAACACAAATTTATTATCTTACAGTCCTGGAGGTCAGATGTCTGAAACGGGTGTCACGGGGTTAAAATCTAAGTGTCAGTGGACTGCATTCCTTTCTGGAGGCTCTAAAATAGACTCATTTTCTGGCCTTTTGAGCTTCTCCAGGCGGCCTGCATTCCTTGGCCCCCTTCCATCTTCAGAGCCGGCCGTGGCTGGTTGGGCCTTTCTCATATCACACCCCTCCCACACTGGCTCTTCCACCTCCCACTTTCACTTTGAAGAACCCCTGTGCCTACCTTGGACCCACCCAGATAATCCCAAATCATCTCCCTATTCTAAGATGACCTGATTAGCCCTGACAGTATGACTCAGTGGTTGAGTGTTGACCCATGCACCAAGGGGTCGCCAGTTCGATCCCCGGTCAGGGCACATGCCTAGGTTGTGAGCACATGCCCGGGATGTCTGTGGGAAGCCATAATTCTGCCTCCTAGCCTGCTCCTTTTCTCAGGCGACACTAGCTATGGACCCCTAACAGTGTGCACCAGTTCTTCCCAAGAGAGACTCTGCAGCACAGGCCCACAATATCAAGGAGTTTCTTTGTGATGGTAAATTGCATCTTCCCAATGCAAATCCTAGAAATATCAACTACATCATCATTGAAATGTAAAAAAAAAATAAAATAAAATAAAAAAATGTATCATAGTTTTTCAACTACAAGATGGGTCATTTAATATAATTGGAATAGTTTATATGTTATTGATAAACTATTCCCAGAGTCAATTCAATGCATAGCTTTATTGATATGTTCCTTGATTTACTTACTATAAATCCTTTGTAAGTCCACTTATTGTTTTTATCCTTTCTTTATCTGCAAAGTATGTGATAGTAATCGCTGCCCACTTTGAGGTAGTGATCAACGTCTCGGTTTAATTTTTTTCAAATTACTAAATAAAAATCACCAAGATTAGCCCTGGCTATTGTGGCTCAGTTGATTGAATATTATCCCATGCACCGAAGAGTTGCTGGTTCGATTCCCACTCAAGGGCACGTATCTGGGTTGCAGGCTCGATCCTCTGTAAGGGGATGTGCAGGGGGCAGCTGATCAATGTTCTACTCTCACATTGATACTTCTCTCTCTCTCTCTCCCCCTCTTCCTTTCTCTCTCTCTAAAAATCAATAAAACAATTTTTTTAATCAGTAGGATTAGTCTTAGTTCTCAACTTATAATAAACTGATACAAAAATGATCCTGCTCATTTGCAAGCAGACATGAAGATTATTTGTGTTCTGTGATCTAATTCTTTATCCCCTTGAAGAGCAGCAAGCATAATCTAGTCCCACATGTAACAAATATGAGGATAAAGGCAGGAGTTCTAAGGCCTGAGAAAAATGAAGAATGAATTAGAAAATAAGAAATGAGGAAAAAATAAGGATCTAGGAAGTAAGGAGAACATAGTGATTGCAAATAAATGAGCGGGAACAATAATTTCCTCGGAATTTAAACAGTGGTTATATAGTGGCTGCCTTCTTTAATTCACTAGGTATGACTTAGTTTAAAATATTGGTATAAAATAGCATAATGTGGTATTGAAAGCCTATGAAAATATGAGAATAAATTAAAGCCAACTTGAAAGTAGGGTCATTATGTAAAGAAACAGGGTTTTTTTTGTTTTGTTTTGTTTTTGCTGACATTCCATTAGGAAAACCATGTCTCCATTAAGAAATGTTCACTCAGAAATGCTGTGGTGTTTTTTAGCCATTCCCATCACAAGGAGAAATTTGGGAGGAAAACACAGTCATAAGCATGGACAGTAACTATGTTTATATAAATCATGGGTGGTCTTCTAGTTGGTTCAGTGTCTCCCACTCAAGTCCGTTCTAATCAAAGAAGAGAACTTTCCGTCCAGGTACACGGAACCATCTGTTTCCCGGTCCCGCCTTCTTTTATCCTGCTCCTCCACCTGGGCTGTCTCTCCCGTGTTTCCTGCAGAATATTCCGACCCCACCTTTATCCCTGACTTTAGGCATCCCTGTTTCTGAGAAGCACCCCACCCACACATCCCTATAAAGGTGTGCTCCCTTTTATCACGACGCTTGCTGCATTCGAGTAGAAACAGCTGTTCACTGCTCCTCCATCCCACCCCCAAATCAGTCCTCCTTCCACTTGAAGGCCAGGGCCCTATTGTTTTCATCACTGTCCTCTCAATGTTCGGACACACAGTGAGTGACCTGTAATTGCTAGCTAAATAAATAGGTAAATGCACGGTAAATAAATGAAGGAAGAATGGTAGGGAGGGATGAAAGAAACCGGGGAGATAAGATACTTAACCACGCCCAACCATATAGGTTTTCTGCGTCTGTAAGAGAAGTGCTACTTTTCACTATCCATGATTTATTTTAAAAAGGCACTTATTGACAGAGCTTGGCAAGTCTTGGCATAGTCCGTTTTCACAAAATAGCACAGGCTATCCATTGCTCTCCTGTGTAGTTCGAGAATGATTCCATTCAATCATTAGCAAGCAGCCAATGTGACTGTGTAAAGAAGAAACTTCGAAAGACAGTTAATTTGCTTCTACCAAGGAGAGGAGTAAATACAGATGTGGTCTCTCTTGATTTGGATAAGGCATTTTGATTGTTTCACACAACAAAGTTAGAAACATTTAGAAAAGTAGGTTTGGGGCCACTGTGAATGACTGATAAGGAGATTGCATCCAAAGGGCATTTATCAGTGATTCAATATCAATTTGGAGAAACCTTCCCAGCTGTGTGTCATCATAAGCATAAACCCTACATTTCTTTAATGTCCAGAGTAAAGGAATTGAAAATATACGGTTGTTTGTGTTCTATTAAAAATGAAAACAAAACAAAACAAAACAAAACAAAAAAAGTGAATATCAAATGACTGATGAAATGGGTAGATTTCCTATAAAACAAAACAAAAAATGTAAAGACAAAAAATATGTATTTAGAGATCAAAATAAATAATTCATATGCAGAATAAAGAACAGTTAACAGGCAAAGCTTAAGTACGAAAGACAACTGGGAAATAAGGGTCAAGACTAGATTCGGTCTTGAACAGGTATTAGCAACATAATTTCCTAAACCAGTCATTCTCAACCAGGGATGATTTTGCAGTAAAAGGAACATTTGGCAATGTCTGGAGGTGTTTTTGACAATCATGACTGGGGAGGGTGCTACTGGAGAGAAGCCAGGGATAGTGCCATACATCCTATACACAACAAAATTCCCCACAATAAATAATTATCTGGTCCAAATTTTCAGTAGTGCCGAAGTTGAGAAACAAACCAATGAAAAAGTTATATGATACAGGACTGCATTAAAATGAACAATGATAGGCATTTAAGGTTTCCCCTTAACAATATTCTGTACCAAATTCTTATTAGAATATCGTGTCCTATTTAGGGTATTACCCTTTAGCAAGTGCAGGCTGTGAAGGATTGGAAATAGACCCTAACGACTGACCATGCCTTGCTCTTCTGCTTTTGCAAGAAACCTTATGCTTTTATTCTGTGTCTCAACCTATTTAAAAGATCTGAAAATAATTCATGCCTGTTTTGAAGCTGAGTTCTGCATCTTGGGTTACCACAAAAAAAAATCTAAGAATGCTCACAGCCCTGGCTGGTGTGGATCAGTTGGTTGAGCGCCAGAGAACATACGGTAGATAAAAGATTGATGTTTTTCTCTCACATCCATGTTTCTCTCTTTCTCCCTCTCTCTTCCTCGCCCTCAAAAAAAAAAAAAAAATCAATAAAAACATCTTATTTAAAAAAATGCTCACAAATAGACTGCCTGATAAACAGCTGAAAAAGAAAGCTGAATTAAGTTTAAGTTGAATATTCTGGAGAATTGAGAAGTCAGTCCTCAATTATGTGCTAAAAGAAAATCTTTAAAAGTTAAAACACATAGAAAAATATCAAATATACTGAAAATACAAATACCACAAAACTCTAAATGAATGAGCCAAAAATCTTACATTACCAACATCAAACTATCCCAAAAGCTCAACATGTTTTAATAATATGCATTTTATAGTTAGAAATGTGGTAAAAATGAAGAATGAGGGATTCCAAAGCAAAATAAACAAATCTTCAAGTCACTTTAGAGTAGACAACAGTTAGAAAAGGGATAAGGTGCTGGAAATGAAGTTAGAAGTGATCATTTTAAATAGTGGGAAATGACAAGCAAGTTTTTGTGGTGAGAAGAGTTTATTTTCTTGAAGCCACATTGAACAAAACGACACAGAGGAATCGTTTTGTGTGGTCCTATTCATATTTCCATTGGATAGGCACCATGCTGATTCCACCATATGTTTTGCAGCCAAATATGACAAAATGTGACTTTAAGCAAAAATATGTATAAAATACTGTTTATTATTTAAATTTCAAAACAAGTATTACATTCAGAATCAGAACCACACACTAGTTAAGCATTATAAACACCCTAAGTATGTACGGCCATAGCTTCAGTCTAAACATTTTCTAAATGTTCTTTGATGAGAAAGTTGTATTTATAATATTTTGTTCATTAACCTGCTCAATAGCACGAATGTGGTAAACTCTACTTTGAGGATATATCACCCAATAACTAAAAGGAAATAACTTGTATTATTGTAATATGATTTGATTTGGAAATGGAGAAATTTGTGAAAAGTCTTCAGGCAAGTCTTTTCACCCCACAGCCAGTAGTTTTAACCTCTTCCCCAACAAAATCTTTTCCTGGAAATACCAACACAAAATTGAGGTCTTCATTTTAGAAGACCTTAGAGTTTCCCTCCCTAGTCAGCGGGAAGAAGCAAGAGCCAATTGTGTCAACTCTTAATTAACTAGGTATTAAAAATAGCATTTCTGAAATCAATGCCTTTCTCAATTCTGAAAAATTGTCTGTTCTTACACAGAAATTTCTGGTTCTCTCTGTCCCTCCCAAATCCTCTTCTGGAACTCCTCATGAAGCAAATGTTAGATCTCCTTTGTTTTAATTTTTAAATTAAAATTAAATTACTTTCTAATTAAAATTCATGTTTTTGACCCTTCTTTTTTGCTTTTTTTAACCCCCCCCCCCCCCACGGCATTCTTATTATCTCCCCAGATCTGTCTTTCAGTTCACTAATTCTTTCTTCAGTTGTGTCTAACATAATTTAACCTATCCATTGTGTTCGTATTTCCAATGACTATATTTTTCATTTCTGGGGTGTTTTTTTTTAAAGTTAATTTTCAAATCTACCTTTTCTTTATTGAGAGTATCTTTTTAAAATATTTTCTTCCTTCTTTTATGCAATTATTTAACTTCTTGTAAAATATTAATTGGTGATTCTTTTTTTTTTTTTTAATTTCTCACCATTTAAATCATAGAAGAACAAAATTCCAGCCAATGAGTGGATTGTGTTGATGTGAGACATTGCCCCTTCCCTTCAAATACATACCTATGATGAATAAAACAGTATGTACAATGAAACAAAATTAAATAGCTGAGTTATAAATTTAAAAAGAAGTATGCAGGTGCTAGAAATGAAGAAGGGAATTTGAAGAGTAGGGCTATGGGTTAACTTGTGTCCTCTCCAAATTTTATACATTTAAGTCCTAAACCCCAGTATCTCAGAATGTGATTTGGAAAAGGGTTCATTACAGATATAATTAGTTAAGTGAGGATGAGGTCATACTGGAGTAGGGTGGGGCCCTAATCCAATATGCTGTTATCTTTATAAGAGGGAGAGGTTTGGACACAGACACACACATGCAGTAGGACACCATGTGAAGATGAAGGCAGAAATTGGTGTCATGATCCTACACACCAAGAAACACCACAGATTGTCAGCAAAGCAACCAGAAGCTAAGTGAGACGCATGAAACAAATTCTTCCTCCAAGCCCTCAGAAGGAATCCACCCTGCTGACACCTTGATCTTAGAACTCTAATCTCCAGAACTGTGAGATACTAAATTTTTGTAGTTTAAGCCACCCAATTTGTGGTTCTTGGTTACAGCAGCCCTAGCAAATTTATGCAAGTGGCAAGCTGAAGCCAAAGGTACAGGATTCACTGAGTAATGTGAACCAGTGATGAGCCTAACTAGGAATTAGAGGTTTAAGCCTGGGAAAGGAAGGAAAGTCAAGGATAGAAGTGCCCTGACACACACACACACACCCTCCGCACCCCATGCCTGGAAGTAAAACTGAGCTACATGCATAATACCAGAGACCGGGAGGGCTTCTTTGTAAGTAAAGAGAGATTAGAGAATTTCTATTTACTAATCTAGGGAAAGTTTTAAAAAAAAAAACACGTGTATCTTGCTAGAGCCTTGGGCATAAAAAGAGTCTATATATAAGGTCTTATCTAGGAACAAAGATAATTTTACTTCTTCCTTTCAAATTTAGATGCATTTTATTTTTCTTGCCTAATGGCTAGAACTTCCATTACTATGCTAAATAGTAGTGGCTAAAACAAGTATGCTTGCTTTGTTCCTGATCTTAGAGGAACAAAAAAAGTGTTCAATCTTTCATCATTGAGGATAATATTCACTGTGGGTTTTCACAAACTGTTTTTATTATGTTGAGGTAATTTTCTTCTGTTCATAAACAGGTGTTAAATTTTGTAAAATGCTTTTCTTGCATCAACTGAGAGCATCATATGAATTTTTGTTTCTTCATTCTGTTAATGTGCTCTATTACATTGGTTGGTTTTATTCGTTAAATCATCCTTATAGTCTAGGAATAAAGCCCACTTAATCATGGTGTCTAATCCTTTTAATATACTGTGAAAATCAGTTTACTACTATTTTATTAACAATTTTTACATCAATGTTCATACCAGATATTGGTCTGTTTTTGTTTGTTTTACTTGTTTGTTTGTTTGTTGTAGTTTCTTTTCCTGGTTTTGTTATCAAAGTAATGGTGGTCTCATAGAAAGGGTTAGGAAGTTTTTCTTCCTCTCTTTTTAGAAAAGTTTGAGAAGGATTAGTGTTAGTTCCTTTTTAAATCTTTGGTAAAATTCACCAGTAAAGCCATCAGCTCCAGGGCTTTTCTTGTTAGGAGACTTTTGATTACTGATTCAATTTCATTATTAGTTATAGGTCTACTCAAATTTTCTAATTCTTCATGATTCAGGTTTTACGTTTCTAAGAATTTATTTTTTCCATCTAAATAATCCAATTTGTTGGCATACAATTATTCATAGTACTTTCTTATAATCTTTTTAATTTTATAGAATCAGTCTCCACTTTCATTTCTGAATTTAGTAATTTGAGTCAATCTAGGTAAAGGTTTATGGATTTTTTTTCAATGCTTTGAGGAACTGACCATTGGTCTAACTGATTTTCTCTATTGCTTCTCTATTCTCTATTTCATTTGTTTCTACTCTAATATTTATTACTTCCTTCCTTCTATTAATTTGGGGTTTTGTTTGTTCTTTTTCTAGTACCTTAAGTTGCAAAGTTAAAATTGTTGGTCTGAGATTTTATTTTGTTTTTTTCATTTACGTATTTATAACCATAAATTTCCCCTTAGCACAACTTTCACTGCATCCCATAAGTTTTGGTATGTTGTGCTTTCATTTTCATTTGTCTTTGTGTTAGTCAGCTTGAGATGACACAATAAACCATCACAGATTGGGGGGCTTAAATAACAGACATTTATTTTTCTCATAGTTTTGGAGACTAGAAGTCAAAAAGCAAAGTGCACCTTCATTAACTCATTTAACTTTAATTGCGTCCTTAGAGATGCCACCTCGAAATACAGTCACACTAGAGAGTTAGGACTTTAACAAGTAAATGAGGGCAGGGGATCTTAACTCATTCTAGCATCAACTCCAAAGTCTAGAGTCCAAATTATGATCTAAAATATCATTTAGTGTAAAACTCATAATGAGGCAAAATTTCTTTCTAGCTGTAAACCTATGAAACCAGACAATTTATGTGCTTCCAAAACATAATCATCAGACAGGCATAGGATAGACATTCTCATTCCTAAAGAGAGAAATTGGAAGAAAGAAAGGGATGATGGGTCCTAAGCAAATGCAAAATGTAGCAAGGCAAATTCCATTAGATCTAAAGGCCCAAGTTTAACCCTATTTTGTCTGCTGCTCTGCCTCCTGGGCCCACTGTGATGGCAGTCCCACCTTCCAGACCCACGGAGGCAAAGAGCTTCACAGTTCTGCTGGGTGGGGTTCATTCCCTTGAAGCTCTACCAAGCAATGATCTTATCTCCACAGCTCTGCTGGGCAAAGGGTGTTTGGCCTGTTGGAAAATGAGACAGTGGCCCTGGTAATCTCTGTATTTTGATTGGAGAGTTTAATCCATTTAAATTTAAAGTAATTGCTGATCAACCCTGGCTGGTTTAGCTCAGCGATTAGAGCGTCGGCCTGTGGTTCAGAGAGACCCGGTTTGGTTCCTACTAAGGGCATGTACCTCAGTTGCAGTTTGTCCCCGGCCCTGGTTGGTCATGCAGGTGACAGCCACTCGATGTGTCCCTTTCACATCGATGGTTCTCCCTCTCTCTCTTCCTTCCACTCTATCTGAACAAAAAATAAAAAAATGTCCTCGGGTGAGGATAAAAAAATAAATAAAAATAAAGTAATTGCTGATCAGAAGATACTTCTGTCACTCTGCTATTTACCTTATGCTATTTGCCTTTCTATAAGCCTTATATCTTTCTTGACCTTTATTTTCTGTATTATGGTCTCTTTTTATTTAGTTGATTTTCTGTAATTAAACATTTTAATTTTTTTCTAATTTCTTTTGATATATATTCTATAGCTATTCTCTTTGTGGTCACTATGGGGATTATATATAACATCCTAAAGTTATAACAGACTAATTGGAATTTATACCAGCTTAACTCCAAAATGTTACAAAAACTCTGCTCATTGATAGCCCTGATCCCATATTGTCAGTTATTGATGTCACAAAATTATATCTTTGTACACTATGTGTCCAAAACCTTAAACTAGTATTTGTTTTATAAATGTATTAGTCTCTTGAAATTATGTAGCAATCAAAATGTGAAGTTACAAACAAGTTAGGATAATACTAGCTTTTATTTATTTATTTATTTATTTATTTATTTATTTATTTTTAATTAATTAATTTATTTTTGTTACAGATGTTTCTCCTTTTCCCCCCACTGATTCACCTCTCCCCCTCCCTCCCCGCCTTGCCCCAACTTTGTTGTCCATGTCCATTGTTCATGCACACATGTATGTAAGTTCTGTGGTTTATCTCTCCCCGACCACCCCTTTTCTGGGGATTGTCGGTCTGTACCCCACTTTCATGTCTCTGGGACTACCCCATTCCTCAGACTGTTCTGTCTATTATATTCCACAAATAAGTGGGATCATATGATACTTGTCTTTCTCTGTTTCGCTTGTTTACACGTAGGATGACACTTTCCAAATCTCTCCCTGTCATCTCAAAGGATAAGAGATCTTTCTTTCTTACAGCTGCATAGTACTCCATTGTGTAAATGTACCACTGCTTTTTTATCCATTCGTCTACTGATAGACATTTGGGCTGTTTCCAGATCTGAGCTATTATAAATAGTGCTGCTACAAACATGGGTGTACATATATTCTTTCTGATGGGTGTTTCAGGCTTCTTAAGGTATGTTCCTAGAAGTGGGATCACTGGATCAAATGGAAGTTCAATTTTTAATTTTTTGAGGTAACACCATATTGTTTTCCAAAGTGGCTGCACCAGTCTGCATTCCCACCAGCAGTGTACTAGAGTCCCCTTTTCTCCACACCCTCGCCAACACTTGTTGTTTGATGGTTTGTTGATGGTGGCCATTCTGACAGGTGTGAGGTGATACTTCATTGTCGTTTTAATTTGCATCTCTCTGATGATTAGTGATGTTGAGCATTTCTTCATATGTCTCTTAGCCATTTGTATGTCCTATTTAGAAAGGTATCTATTTATTTTCTCTGTCTCTTTTTAAATTGGGTCTTCCTTTTGGGTCTTCCTTTTAATTGGGTCTTTGTCTTCCTTTTGTTGAGTTGTATGAGCACTCTATATATATTGGAAATTAACCCATTATCTGATATATCATTGGCAATGATGCTCTCCCATACAGTGGGTTGCCTTTCCATTTTGATGATTGTATCTTTTGCTGTGCAGAAGCTTTTGAGTTTGATGTAGTCCCATGTGTTCATTTTCTCCTTAGTTTCTGCTGCCTTAGGTGATGTATCAGTGAAAATTCTGCTGCGTATGATGTCTGAAATTTTGTTGCCAACATTTTCTTCTAGGATTTTTATGAATTCATGAGTCACATTTAAGTCTTTTATCCATTTTGAGTTTGTTTTTGTGTATGGTGTAAGTTGATGATCTAATTTTATTGTTTTGCATGTAGCTGTCCAATTTTCCCAACACCATTTATTAAAGAGGCTGCCTCTACTCCACAGTATGCTCTTGCCACCTTTGTCAAAATTTAATTAAGGATATTGCCTTGGGTCCATTTCTGGGTTCTCTGTTCTGTTCCACTGGTTTATATGCCTGTTCTTGTGCCAGTACCAGGCTGTTTTGATTACAGTGGCTTTGTAGTATAACCTGAAATCTGATAATGTGATCCCTCCTACTTTGTTTTCTTTTTCAAGATTGCTGTGGCTATTTGAGGTCTTTTTTGGTTCCATATGAACTTTTGAAGTATTTGTTTTAATTCTGTGAATTATGTCATTGGTATTTTGATGGGGATTGCATTGAATCTGTAGATTGCTTTGGGTAGTATGGACTTTTAATAACGTTAATTCTTCCAATCCATGAACAAGATATGTGCTTCCACTTTTTTATATCTTCCTCTATTTCTTTTTTCAATGACCTTTAGTTTTCTGCAAATAGGTCCTTTACTTCTTTGGTTAAGTTTATTCCTAGGTATCTTAATTTTTTTGCTGCAATGGTAAATGGGATTGTTTTCTTAGTTTCTCTTTCTGTGAGTTCATCATTGGTGTATAATAATGCCATCGATTTCTTGATGTTAATTTTGTATACTGCTACTTTTCCAAATTCATTTATTAAGTCTAGTAAATGTTTTATGGAGTCTTTGGGGTTTTCTACGTATAGTATCATGTCATCTGCGAATAATGACAGTTTCACTTTCTCCTTTCCAATTTGGATCTCTTTTATTTTTTATTCCTGTCTCATTTCAGTACTATGTTAAGTAAGAGTGGCGAAAGTGGGCATCCTTGTCTTGTTCCTGTTCTTAAGGGAAATGCTTTTAGTTTTTGCCCATTGAGTATGATGTTGGCTGTAGGTCTTTCATATATGGCCTTTATTATGTCGAGATATGATCCCTCTATTCCCACACTGCTGAGCATTTTTATCAGAAATGGATGCTGGATTTTGTCAAAGGCTTTTTCAGCACCTATTGATATGATCATGTGGTTTTTATTCTTTATTTTATTTATGTGGTGTATCACATTTATTGATTTGCAAATATTGTACCAGCCTTGCATCCTTGGGATGAATCCCACTTGGTCATGGTGAATAATTTTTCTGATGTATTACTGGATCCAATTTGCTAGTATTTTGTTTAGGATTTTGGCATCTATGTTTATCAGGGATATTGGCCTGTAGTTTTTTTTCTTTGTAATGTCTTTTTCTGGATTTGGAATTAGAATTATGCTGGCTTCATAAAATGAGTTTGGAAGTCTTCCTTCTTCTTGAATTTTTAAAAATACTTTAGGAGAATGGGTGTTAGTTTTTTTTGAAAGTTCGGTAAAACTCCCCCGTGAAGTGATCTGGGCCTCGGCTTTTGTTTGCTGGGAGAGTCTTGATTACATCTTTAATTTCCTTAGTTGATATTGGTCTGTTCAAGTTTTCTATCTCTTCTCAGTCCAGTTTTGGGAGACTATGTGTTTCTAGAAATTTGTCCATTTTGCTTAGATTGTCGAATTTATTGCCATATAATTGTTTATAGTAGTTGTTAACGATCTTTTGTATTTCTGTGGTGTCAGTTGTTACTTCTCCACTTTCGTTTCTGATTTTGTGTATTTGGGTTCTCTCTCTTTGTTTCTTGGTGAGTCTAGCTAAGGGTCCATCAATCTTGTTTATTTTTTCGAAAAACCAGCTCTTTCTTTCATTGATCCTTTGAGTTGTTTTTTTGGAATCTATGTCATTTATTTCTGCTCTGATCTTTACTATTTCCTTTCTTCTAGTTGCTCTGTGGTTTTCTTTTTGTTTGCTCTCTAATTCTTTAAGTTGTGAGGTTAGATAGTCTATTAGAGATTTTTCTTGCTTCTTGAGGTAGGCCTGGAGTGCTATGAACTTCCCTCTCAGAATGCTTTCACTGCATCTCATGGATTTTGTGTTGTTGGGTGTTCATTTTCATTGGTTTCCAGGAAGTTTTTAATTTTTTCCTTGATCTCCTCGGTAACCCATTCATTGTTTAATAGCATGCAATTTCGCTTCCATGTGTTACAATGTCTTTGCATCTTCTTGTTGTAATTAATACCTAGTTTCATGCCATTGTGATCTGAGAAGATGCTTGATATGATTTCCATCTTCTTGAACTTGTAGAGACTTAGTTTGTGTGCTAACATGTGGTCTATCTTTGAGAATGTCCCATGTGCACTTGAGAAGAATGTTAATTCTGTAGTTTTGGGGTGTAATTCTCTGTAGGTAGCTATTAAATCCATTTGATCTAGTGCTTCATTTACAGTCTCTGTTTCCTTGCTAATTTTTTGTCTAGAGGATCTATGTAGTGATGTCAGTGGGGTATTGAAGTCCCCTGCTATGATTGTATTGCTATAGATTTCTCCTTTGAAGTCTTCCTGAAGATTTTTAATATATTTTGGTGCTCCTATACTGGGTGCATATATGTTTATCAAAGTTGTATCTTCCTGTTGGACATATATTATGTTCAATATTATGTAGTGGCCTTCTTTGTCTCTAATTATGGCCTTCATTTTGAAATCTATTTTATCAGATATGAGTATTGCTACCCCAGCTCTTTTTTCCTTTATGTTTGCTTGGAAGATTTTTTGCTATCTCTTCACTTACAACCTATGTGAGTCTTTTGTTGTGAGGTGGGTCTCTTGTAAACAACATATAGATGAGTCATGCTTTCTTATCCAATCAGCTATTCTGTGTCTTTTTTATCGGAGCAATCAATCCATTTACATTTAAGGTGATTATTGATATGTATTTATTTATTGCCATTTTTGTTTAGTGTGGCTATATTTTTTTTCCTACTTCTTCTGCTAATTACAGCAGTCCTTTTAACATTTCTTGCAGTGCTGGTTTGGTGCTAATGTATTTCCTGTGCCTTTTTTTTTTTTTGTCTGCGAAGCTCTTTATTTGACCTATTTTGAATGATAGCCTTGCTGGGTAGAGTAATCTTGGATTCAGATCCTTGTTTTTCATGACCTTGATTACCTCATGCCATTCCCTTCTGGCCTGTAGTGTTCTGTTGAGAAGTCAGCTGAGAGCCTTCAGGGGTTTCCTTTGTAGGTAACCTTTTGC